GGGCGGGGTGACGCGGGGCGGGTCGGGAGACGTGGAGCGGTGGAGCGGCGGAGCGACGTGCGGGACTGGGTGACGCGAAGGGGCGGGGTCTGGAGGATGCGGGGCGGGGCCCAGAGGCAACGTGTACTCACTCCCAGGTGGAACGCTCGCCAGCCACCAGGCTGCTGTGACTAGTTTACGCAAATCCTCCAAGCTAACCGAGAAGATGTTTTCCGCTCCCGTACCGCAAAATAGCAAATGAAGAGAGCTGGGAGGTGAGCGCTCTTCGCTGGGTGGTTTACATGCAACGGGACAGCCTGTAGTGGAGCCCCCGCTGCCTACACAATTACCCGGGACTCGTGTTTCTGCCTGTTTACAGGGCCAACTCATTTGCTCATGCCCGAAGGTTTTTTCCTAGGTACCACCTAACTAGGATACCTGGAGAAGGACAACGGATCCAAAACCACTCCGGAAAGGCGCGGTCCCTGGTAACCCCTGCCGCAGAGCCGGCTCTCTCCCCAGTTCCCCGCGCTGATCGCTGGCTCTGTTTGGTTCTCTCTCCCGCTAGTAAGTAAACCCCCTGAGAGGGGTACTTTGTTCCCTACAGTAGCCCCAGCACTTAGAACAGGACTTGGCACCTAGAATGTCCTCAGTATTCATATTTTAAATGATTGAAAGAAACGAACGAACAGGGATTAGGGTATCAAGGAGACTATGCAATCCAAGAGGCTATCAGAATTTAACAGGATGTAAAGCAATAGCCCCCTGGGACATCCGCAGACCTACCCCAGGGTTTTAATCCAAATGCAATTACTTGCAGACTTCTGGACGGTAGACAAGTAACCCTCTACTCAGATGCACTGAATGATCAAAGACTCCCCTCATAGAGCTGCCTTGAGGATGGAGTGAGGATTTAGTAAGCTCTCAATAGATGGTGACTATTATTACCATTCTTAAAGTTTTTCAGATGAAATAATATTGAACCAACCTACATAATGGACTCTAACATAAGTACACAAATTTTTTTTTCCATTTTATGTGCCATGTTTTCATCCCTGTGAAGTCTCAGCTCACATAAATCATTTAAGTAGCACTTCATTGGGAATGGGAAGCCCATTGAGAGAAGCGAGGATGCTTTCCACCAAATTTTCCATCATCTGTCGTCTGGCTTGATGAGTTGCACTTCCAATGTGAGGTGTCAGAATGATGTTCTTCAACTTCAGCAAAGGATGATCTCTGAAATACAGATGAATTGAGGAAAAGCATTCAGAGCTGTTTTGTCTCCTGAACTTCTTACTCATGTTTCGCACCCCACCCTAAGAACAGCCATGGGATGCTTTATGGCATACTTTAATTACACCTAGCTATGACCACCTCTCATCTAACCCCCGTATGAGGGACCCTACATTTTGGGGTGCTAACACCTAACTGCATTCAGGCTATTAGTACACAATGGCACAACATGTGTGGTGGATTAAACACTGGCCCACAAGACAGAAAAGGGCCTTAGGGAAGATAGATGCTGGTCCAGGCATCACAGGACCAGCTGGACGCGCCTTTAATGAGCGGCACTCAGAGGGAAGAGATTTATTAACTAGAATTAGCAGATTAGACGGGGTTCTCTTCCAGAAAGAATGCAAAGGATGGGAGTCAGCCTGGAGAGATGATGAGGTTTTAGTGGAGCAGGTCAGACAGTCCACAGACAATGATGGATAACAGTGCGACCGCTGAGAAAGGGCCATGACCTACCCCAGCAGGGCCTCCTGTTCAGTACAGAGGCCAAAGGAGCCATGTGGCAATGACCCTCCATCTTAGCTACTGCAGCTCAAAGGGCACACCTTTGGGAAGTGTATGGACCCCAAAATCTATGGACATTCTCTGGCGCACTTATATCAATGTACTAGGACTGCTCTAGCCCCCAGGACTGATAGCAGGAAGCCATCCTGTAGTGTGGTCAGCGAGGGTGAGAACTACTCTTCCCTCCTGTACAACGGCACTCTCTGGAAACCGGGCTCAGGAGGAGGCTGTGAACTGAGACAGAGTGACTGCCTTGGTCCCAGCGGACGTGGAACACAGAGGTAGCTGAATCACAGCCAATCGTAACAGCACCTGTCCATAACAATATCTGGTGTATAGGCAAGAGCCAATTCTGTTGAGAAGGCATAGCAAATATCTCTGTAATTGTTACTGATTTGTTATGTAATGAAACTGCATTTTACCATGACCATGTTGTGACATGGTGTAACACTGGCATTGTTAGTAAAAATTAACTACCTCACAAAACAAGTCCTGCGATGACTGATACTGATGATCAATTGTATTGGGAGACTGAGTTAAAGCCTTCTCAATACGAATATTGATATGATACCAATAGGAAGTGACTGGCCTGAGGAAAAACTAAATTTAGCTAAATAGCAGCTAATTTATACACTAAATGCACAAGGCCATCATAAGGTACAAATCGTGGTAGATCAATGGGCAAACAATCAAACGAGTACAAAGATGCCAAACTGTATGTAATGGCTTTATAGGGTGGGTTAGTTGTTGTTTTAAACCTATCCCTGCCCACACTGGCCCTTCCAAACGGTAGGCATAGTCACACGAATGCTATTGCTGTATGTCATATAAATACTGTAATAAATGCAGATGTTCCAATACATATGCTGGCTTTGCTGTAAGACAGCCCAGGCTGAGGGCCAAGGAGGGGATGGCCGTGTAGTAACAGGTTAACTCAGCAGGCAGGCTCGGAGCACTCAAAACCAGCACCTTACAAAGTTGGCCCTCTGGGACACAGCCTTTGCTCTCTGCCACCTGATAAGAGTGTCTTCCTGTGCTTGGGGCCTGGAGCAAAGCCAGAGTTTATGCTAACAGTGTAATCTGTGGGGAGTGCCTGTTTTTGCTCACCTGGAGTCCTGGGCCACTCTGTATCATTTTGACCTGGGGAGGGGCTGGAAACTAAGTAGCCTACATGCTGACCCCAAGGCTCGGGTGAATGTCCCTGGTTAGAAGTACTTCACTGTGTGGCCCAACATCATTGCTGGAAGTCGTAGCTGCTGTCCACACAGCTGCACTGGGGAAGGACAGCCGGAAGCTATGCCTGGCTCTCCAGGACTCACCCCTCACGGTCCGCTTTTGCTGACTTTAACTGTACCCTTCTCCGTAACAAACCGCAAACTTTTCTGAGTTCTGTGAGTTTCTAGCAAATCATTAAACCTGAAGGTGATCTTTGGGCCTCCTTGTAGTAGTGATAAATGAATTTTTTCTTCTTAAATAATCTTGTAGTAAATCTCTTTGTAAGGCAAAGGATACTTATGCGATATGACTAATCCAAAATTTCTTACTTTAAAAAATTTTTTTACAGAAAGAGCTACAAAACGTCTGCCCCAAAAAATCAAGATGGAAACTCAAATAGGTTGATGAAGATAATATAGAGATTAGAAATTAATAGGATATCTAAAGATTAAGTTATTCATAAAATAATTGTTATATCTCCTGGCCACAAAAATAATTTCCCGTGGGACCCTGCGAGTGCGCCACCTATTAGGGTAAACTAACCTTTAGGACGTAACCCTGCTGCTGGCCCTGCAAGTCCTTAGGGAATCTAATAAAAAGCTCATCTTAGCAGACTAAGCAATAGGAGTTATCACGTGACTTCTAGGTTTCTGAGTAAGTGGACAATGGTCCAAAACGCTCATGCTTAATTTCTGTTGAAATTATTTTTTGTTCTAGATCAGTGGTTCTTAAACGTTTGGTCTCAGGAGCTCTTTACAGTCTTAAAAATTGAAGACCCTAAAGAACATCTGTTTATGTGGGTTATATCTATCGACATTTACTGTGTTAGAAATTAAAACAAAAAATTTTAATACAGAAGCATGCATTTTTTTTAGCTGTCAGAGTGTCATCACATGTCATTAGTCTCCGGAAAACTCCATTGAACCCTTGTGAGAAAACATAAGTGGAGAGGTAAATCACATCTTACAGTATTATGAAAATAGTTTTGACTTCTCAGGCCCCCTGAAAGGGTGTCCAGGCCACCTTTTAAGAAACTCTGTTCTAAGTAAATTATTTCCTCAGAAATGTCTAAGTTCTATGGTCAATCTTGATCAATTTAGATATTAAATTTGGTTGTAATGTCATTCAGCTCACAGTCATTTTCTTACCGGATTGAAACCAAAGCTGAAGGAATCAGAGCTAAGAACAGCTAGTTTACAGAATGACATCGTCAAAATTCAAAATAAGGGACAGAATTAAGGCTCTAGCCCTAACAGCCTGGATCTTTGGGTCAAAACACAAAAGCAAATGAAATTAAATAGAAATAAATGTAAAATTTCACACATACATTTAAAAAAATAACTGAGGAACTAACAATCAAGAAACTAATCTTGATTTTAGTTGACTAAACTTAATGAGCTAAGGGTGCGATGAGGCTTCTAAAACACGTGCTAACATTAACTTTGTATAACGTTTCTGCAGTGGTCAGGCACAACGTGAATACCGTGTTCAGGTCTCGAGAGCACATTTTCAAAGGACCTTAAAAGCTAAAGTGCTGGAAGACAGTGATAATGACAAGGCGTCTGGAAATGCCATTATCAAGACTACAGTTGAAGGATATGAAGATATTCAGCCTCAAAAAAGAACATAGTAGTTGTCTTACAATACGTGAAGGTTTGCAAGAGATAAGGAAAGATGCTCCAGAGGGTGGACCAGGGACAGTGGGTGTGGGGAGGTCTGTTGGGAGGACAGCTCTCCAGTCCCTGGAGGCTGAAGGAGAGGCGAGACCGTTTGTGGGACATGGAACGGGTCACCACAGGCACCTCCCAGGCTGAGACCCTGCAGCCCCATGACCATGCAGCTGCAGAGGCCAGGAGCACAGCTGTGTGAGGCCTGCCCCAGCACCCAGAGGACCGCGAGTCTGTCACCTGGGCAGGGGCTCCGGGTGCGTCACATCCAGTGCTGCTGCTTTGATGACCCCGGTCTGAAGTGCTTGCAGCAGGGCATCCTGATCCACCACCAGACCTGAGTTGACGAGACAAGGTGTCTATGGTCAGCAAGGCCAGGCAGGACCCGAGGACGCTTCTGCTCAGCGCCTGCTGCCACACGTCTGATCCCCGGGAGGTCTGACAGAGGTGGCTCTGAGCCTGTGACCCCGCACAGGGAGTGCCCTCCGCCCTCTGCGCATACAAGGGGCTGCCTCCCCGGCCACCCGGGGGAAAAAACACAGGGAGTGCCCTCCGCCCTCTGCGCATACAAGGCCACCCGGGGGAAAAAGCAGAGCCTTGGGAGCTTCTCACAGGTTAGGGGACTTAACACAAGTGTGGCCGAACTGCCACTTCAAACGTAACAGTGAGACAGAAGCTGAGAAAACCCTGTGTCCCTCCCAGAGACCCTCAAGGACCTTATAGCCAGAGCGCAGCACCTAGCCTGCCTGCACGTGGGAGAAGCCGAGCCCAGGCCCTGTACTGTGGTGCCTGTTTTTCCAGAACGTTCACTGCGCTCACTGGCCTCTGACCTGCCCAAAGCAAGGACGCATGGATGCTTCTTGCGCCTCGGGGCCCGAGCCATCAGAGCTGTCACACTGGCTCAGCCCTGTGAGGGCGCTGGCAAGCGCTGCTCGCCTTGCCTGGCACAGAGGGACACATGTGGCTGCTGGCAGCACCAGGTCTCACATGTACCCAGGTGTACCCAGCCCCCAACCCTGCCAAGGCCAGTGGTCTGGACGTTTGGCGTCAGCACTGATTCTCACATGTGCGGTCCCTCGCCAGTGTCAGAGGACTCTGTTTCGCTCCTTCATAAACGCCACACAAACCCGCCACGATGCTTGGCTGTGGCCTGGGGCCCACTGCCTCCTGCGCACAGACACAGCCTACACACACGGCCAAGAGCTCAGCTAACCCAAATCGGTTCTTAAAGTGAAGGCTCGGAAAGGCCACTCCTGCATCTAGAAATCACGCTGCGATGCACCTGCCGCCGGAGACGCCCAAACCCGGTCCTGAGACCCAACTGCAGCATCTCATTCTCTGTGCTGCCAATTTGAGGTTCATGAGAGGTGAAGCCGGACACCAGAAACTCAGAATAGAAAGCAATACCGCTTTCGCTCAGCACCCGCCGCCTCCAGGGTCTGGGCCTCTGGAGAAGGCCCGGCCCGCGCACCCCAGGGGCAGCACCTCTGCCGATGTTGACCAGGACGGCCGTGGGCTTCATCAGTCTCAGCTCCCTCCTTCCGATCAGCCCCCGGGTCTGGGGCGTCAGGCTCACGGCCACCATCACGAAGTCCGACTGCTGAAGCAGGTCATCCAGCCTCTCGCAGTACGTGGCCCCGACTGCGTCCTCCTCCTCTGCTTTCCTGTGCAGGGAACGGCACAAAACCCACGTCCTCCCATCAGAAATCGGGTCGCCCCGGGAAGGGGTTGCGAGGGGAGCCAGGGCCTCGGTCTCCCCCCCAGGTGGGTCCAGGACTCAGCCACGGCCCTGGAGCCCCCCACGTCCTGTACCCACGGGACTTCACCAGGGCCACAGCTCCTCGGGGTCAGGAGCCTCCTCCCGCCCTCTTCCAACCTGAGTCTGGTGCAAGCCTGATCGGCCTCAGGCACAGTCAGGCCGGGGCACTGCTGAGGGTGGGGAGCCACCGAAGCTTCCAGACAAGACAAAACTAAGGCTGCGAGGGCCGAGTGCTGTCTGTCAGAGGGCGAGGGGCAGGGCCTGACCGAGCCAGGAGTGTGGGCTCCGTTGTCGGTCCCGTCTGAACTCCTGCGCTGGCTGCCCCAGACAGCACAGCGCTCAACAGAAATTCCAAGCTCAAGGCGGGCACAGCATCCCCGGCAGCCGCCAATGCCACGCAAATATGGACAACGCTGACAGTATAGGAACTCTCCTAACACGAGCCTGGCCTGGCGGGGGACACGTGGAGGAAAGATGAAAGGCCAGTTCGCTGGCCCCTCCCGAATGCCCTGCCCACATCGCCCGCCCACCTTGTCCTGGCAGAGCCCGGGCCTCCACCTTTGCCCCCATCACACTGAAAATTGTCTCTCCACTGTTCACTGTGCAAACACAGTGACTGAAAACGGGGAGCGGTTCTGGTGTGAAATCTCCCAGGTCACCATCAGCCGGGACTGCACCCCACGTGCAGTGGGAGGTGCAGAGTAGCCTTCCTCGGGCTGCCTTGCAGTGGGGCTGGGGGTTCAAGGGGAGACAGGCGGCCCCTTAGGAGGGTGTGCCTTAAATGAAAGACTACAGGCAGCTTCCAGGGTTGCTGCGACGCAGTCAGTGCCACTGGGTGTTGGGCCGAATTGCATATGACAGGAAACGAGTTTCAGACTGAAGAAGGGACTGGGTGAGCAAGACCTCAGAATTCAAGGGACCAGCCAAAGTGCTCAGTGGGTGTCGACAGCATCTCCCATGATCGAAAAAAGTCACTTAAGAAATAAAAAATGAACAATTATAGGTGAGTTAAAATCTCTTCTTGGTTAAATTCTGGAATCTTGTTTTCCTTATGTCCTGTTGATAAATACATCCATGCTTTCTACAAGCAAAGTGTTACATCTTCTGCATAAAATATCTACTTACTGAAGATGAGCATGCAAAATTCATTGCCTCGGTTTTGCCTGTCAACTATGGCGCTATCTTACTTTAAGGCCTGAAAAACAGTTTTGTGGATTATAAATTTCTTCATACGATTGTATTTTCATATCACTGGTTTCTTAACGTGGTTGTAGTACGATACACTTGGTTGATTTAGGTCACATATGCACTGAATTCACAAATTCTTCCTATAATTTTACATATCATTTGTTTGGAAATCACACATTTCCTCTGTTTTTCATATCTGATAATGAATAAAACACCTTTGCTTGTTCATTTCTGAAAAAGAACTGTCTTTAGTGATTGTTTTCGGTAGTGGTATTACAGCATTCGTCTCTGTGTAAATTACCCCACATAGGGAAGAGTTCTAGTCCGTACCTATGGTTCTCATTGAAAACAGAACTGGGTGTGCATTTCTGTGATGTTAAGAGTACATTTCTACTTTATTTTGAAACATTTGCCAAACTAACGCTGTATAGCATTAAAAATGACTAAGATTGCTTAGCATTAGAAGCAGACTGTGTCTGGAAAGCCTGAAACAGCAGTGTTCGTTGCTTATCTAAAGCCTAGTTCGTTGCTTATCTAAAGCCAACGTCCACGATGGCAGGAGCACTCCATATAACAAACCTGCTGTATAATGAACAATCTTGGACATTTATCAACTGTTGATACGAAAAGAAAAAGTTCTCTTTCTGGGGAAAATTTTTCAATGGAGAAAAGTCACAGCCACATTTCTAGGTAATCATAAAAATACCACAATCCTTTTCTGGACCGTCGATCCTGTTTTCTGGAAAGAGTAGGGGAGTCTTGTGGAAAACAGAGGGACCACACATCCAACCCGATTTAAGGCAGCGACGGTTCACTGCAAGCCCACCGCCCAGTCCCACCTGCGTCTCCTATTGTGGTACAGAATCTTCATGTCAAACGCCGTGGCCCTCTGAGCGATCCTGTAGCCGATACTGCCCATGCCAACGATGCCCAAGGTGGCGCCCGTCACTTCCTGACCCATCCAGTTTATGGCAAAGTTCTCTGTATCTGGAGAGATGGCCAGTTGGTGACCTAAGATACACAACGCGACAATGGGAGTGGAGATGGCGCCACACAGAAACCCATGACTCTTCCTGGGACCTTTTGTGAAGCTGACGAGGGGAGAGGATGCTGGCGGCCGCCCATGGCTCTCATGCATCTCATTCTGACACCAAACATCGTTTGGTGGGGGAAGAAAGCAGGGCCAGACAGCAGCGTCCTCACGACAGAACCAGCACCTCCTGGTAGAATACTGGAAACGGCCACTGCATTCATGTTAAGGAAAGGTTTCTGGTCCAAGTTCATCGGTTCGGTGTGTCTGTGTGTGAGGGATCGTGTGTGCATGTGTGACTGGGTGTCTAGTGTGGCTGTTCTGTGTGTGGCTGTGTGACTGTGTGTGTGACTGTGACTGTGTGCATCTGCATGTGCGACTCCTCCGTGTGTGTGAGCCAGAAGCATCCAGAAGCAGAAGGAGCCTGGTTCTTGCTTCTCCTTCCTCAGCACTTCACGCCAAGCTCCACCAGGAGGAGGGTGAGTGTGGGGTGCTACACCGCCCTTCCTGGGGACAGTCCCCGATGCTCCCAGGGACGCCCAGTGTGTGGACAGGTGGGTCGTGCCTGCCCACCTGTAGGCCTCCCCCCACAGCAGCGCGCTACCCGGCCAAGGAGTGGGCCCCAGGGCGCCTCCGCCGGGTGCCACCATCACTGCCAGCACACACTTGGCCCCTGTTACTTAGCGGCTTCTGGTGGGGGCGGAGGCAGCGGCTGTCACAGACTGTCGGGCTACCTGGCCGGGTCTGGCGCTAAGTCGGCTGCTGCGGGTCAGCAAAGGGACTTAGATTCCCAAGGGTAACCAAGTGCTGGACGCACCGTGAACCCGGCCGGGGAGAGAGGGACCCGTGAAACCCGCCGGGGAGGGACCCGCGCCTCCACGACCGCAGCGCTCACCTTCCACCACCCGCCGCGCCGCCGCCAGCAGCAGGGCCATCCCCAGGTCGGCCGTGGGGCTGGAAACAGCGTCCGGGGTGTTGGCCACCTTCACGCCGAAGCTGGCGATGAGCTTCAGGTCCAGGTGGTCCAGGCCGGCCCCCGCGGGGGCCACG